GGAACACAGCATTTTGTAGAGCAGACAATTCTCTTTCGAATGATATATAAAACGATGTAAAAGTTTCATGATTTAGATGAAAATTTTTTGGTTGAAAAAAAAACGACATCACTTATGAGACAACCTAATACATATTGCCGGCCGGCCGTAATGGGAGGCAGTTAGTAGAGGGAGGGGGGGGGTGTGAAAAAGCAGAAGGGAGGGAAGAGAGAAAAGGAGGGGAGAAATGGGTTGCCATGCACTGGAGGGAAGGGTGTAATAAGGGCGGTTCCCCATCCAATAGTGAGGTGTAATGCCAGTACGTCCATCTGCCTCCTGTTCTCTCCCCTACCCTGTGATGCGCGCGATAGCGGGCGGAGCAAACCTGGTGTACGAGGCAGATTACAAGACCCATGCTCATTTTCTTCTTGCAATTTCAACGAAGGGGACGCTACAGTTCCATATTTATATCTGCCGTTCAGGACCCGAGCAACGGAAAAAAGGAAAAGCCGTGAGTAGTTCGCACTATATAAAATTTCTGTGCAATATTGATCTTGATTTCTTCGAAGGACACTTATGGAGGTCTTCCAGGAAATGCCAGCTTTCTCGAAACGGTTTTTTGCATGATATATGAAGGCACGAGAGTGGAACACAGGAATGTGGTTCATTTTTCCTGAGCGACACTCTGAATACCCAAAAAGGAGCGAAGAAATTATTTGAGGAACTGCCGTTCTTAACCTCCTTCGCCAGTTTTCTGACCCAAGTCTACGTATAAAAGTTGCTGGTCCTAATTAAAGATATGACATAAGTTGTTTCTTAGGCTATTTTTCGCGAATTTCGGCCCACTACCAACACAAATGTAAAAAAAGCTTGTCGTGCAGAATTCCGTCACCCGCACGAACCACCTCATCATCCCATTATTATTATTTAAAGAGCAACTCAGGTGAAATGAAATACAGTTCTACGCTCCATGCACGTACCCCTGTGCAAGAAATTGTTTCAAGAAAGCTGGGCATTTTCTGAAAGACCTTTCCTCGTTCGAGTGCTTGCACTAAATAGTATTCTTATGCAATAATATTAGGTTGTCTCAAAAATTCGTCGTGCGTATTTTGACTTCTTTTTGAGCATACTTGAAGCAACAATCCCAGCAGGGTTTTTACCTTCGGCACTAATGGTGTAGAACGATAACGCTAGCCCTAAGTCAAGAACCATAAAAATTGTGTACTGATACAAAAAAACTCGTGCCTGTAGCAAAGCCCGCTAAGAAAGGGAGCCTGTATAGAGCATTAGAAGTGGGCGTGTTATCAATGGTCAGCTAATGGAATTCGCGGCGCGACTGAGCAACCACTCCTACATCGAAGCCATCTCAGGCTTTTTCAGCTGCCTCTCTTCTAGCGCTTGTCAAAAGGGACCAACTCGGGCGAGTACTACGCCATGCACAGCAGAATTTCCCAATCAAAATCCGTGATCTTTTGATATGTAATCCTTCGTCACATGTAGATATGCGTAGGGTGGGTAACACCACATTGAGCATTTCTGCGTGAACTTCACGCATGGCTTCGGCCAAATTTCGAAGGTAGTTAGAGCCGACAATGGTCGTCACCGCGGTGCAGGTATCCAGCAGCTTTCTGTAGAGAATCAGTTTACCTCATCAGAAACACTAAGAATAGCCTCTTGACGAAGGCCTGCTTTTGTTCCTGCGGGCAGCTTTCCTCCTTGTCGAATTTAGTAGTGCTTATGTGTATAGTTTAGTCAAGGCCAGAGCTATCTTCATTAGCCATCATTTTTGTCAAGAGATTCCTTTGATGCGAAAGAAGAAGAGAAATCTGAATCATGGTCACACGGTTCGCCTCCCCAGACTGGCGCAACCCATGTGGTGTCAATGGCGAACATACCAACCTGTAACCGGGATCGTGCAGATCCTCGACGATTGTTTATCGTTTATTGTTAAATTGTCAAATGAGTGCACCTAAGCGTTGTTGTTAACCCACGACTGTATCAATCCGCCTCTAGGAAGTTGAGAAAACGCTCGTCATTCATCATCTATTGCCAACAATCCGTGCCTCACTTCGAACGAAACATCTCCAGTTGCGAAGCAATAGGCCTAACGGGACACCATGGCCTGGTGAATGCCATCCTCCTGAATACAGCACAGATGCTAGCTGCAACGACACAAACGGAGTGGCTTTACAGGAGCTCGAAAAATAAAATAGGTCAAAAGATGGGTTGATTCAGAGAGAAGTTTGAAGCTGTAAAACGTTGCACGAAGCCTTCATTTACGCTTCTACTGAAACCTCCGAAGATACACTACAGTAATCAAATGCCAAAACATTTGAAAAAAGTTTTTGATTTTCCCTCAAAGAACTGGTTCAGGACTTTCTGGACAACCCATTATTAGATTGTCTCAAAGTTCGTGGGTATTTCTTACGCCACAAGCTCCTCTAGCAACTTCTAATTACATCGCGTTGATTGTGGAAAGGGCAGAAGCTCAGTAAGTTATGACCGAATAGTGAGTATTAGTGACCGAATCACTCCCCCTCCCTCTTCTGGGTATCTGTAGGACAGGCGACGACCGACGTGACAATCGTTTCCCCATAGAAATGGCTAGACTTCTCAGCCTTCTGAATTTGCGCAAGGCAACCCGCCAGAAAGCGGTTAGCCGATGAAGCGTTTTTAAACCACCTTTGTGCAGTGTTCGAACTAGAAGAGAACACTGAAACGTATGAGCAATAGACGCGGAGGTTGCATAAAGAGCCGTACATGGCAACATCTAAGTTCTTTCGTCAATGTGTCAGTCCCGTGTATAAAATGCGACATATCTCTTGCCCAAGGAGAAGACTGACAGCCTGCAGAAGAAACCGCTCGAATCATTCGGAAGGCTATCGTGCCGGATTTTGAGACAGTTTGCGCTTTAATTGTTGAAAGCTACAATGCGCAGAAGCGGTGACCTTCGCTGTAGGCACCACACCCTGATGTTTCAGATGCACAGTTCATGAAGTTTCTCGCTCCTTCGTAAAAGGGTTGAAGGTTTGTCGAAGATTCCACGAATTGACCGCAGGGAGTGAGAGCAGGATTGCCTGTCGATGGCGCGTGCTCCGAGCTCCGCTAGGCACTGGTTCAAACAAGGCATAGCTAATGCAAGGTGGAAAGTAGCCGGTTTGCATGTTAAACCACAACAGAAAGTCAACGCCCGCACACTCGTCCTCAAAAACCCGGAAAGAAATATGTCCGCGTCCAACGGTTACAACACGAGACCAGCTGTTTCGAAAATGGAGGCGATTCCCTAGCCTCAGCTGAAGTTCTGTACCACAATGCGGTCGTGCAGGTTTGTCGGCCTCCTTTCAGAAGGATGTCGTCTTTATTCTAGCGATGACTCTAGGGTCCAAAGAAAAATACCAATGTCTATCAGGCATCTCAGATTCACGCACTACCTTCCTCAATTCGTAACCGCGCCAGGGCTTTTTGGGACGCAGGTGCAACTACGTTGTTACTTTTTGAATATTTTAGGCATGTCACCAGTGTTATCCGACTCACCCACCAAACTTTCCGCCAACTTTCCCACTTTTTCCACCAAAAATGCGGGGAGTATATAGCTACTCTGAAACAGTTAAGATTTCCTATACCTCCGCCATTTTACTCCACTTCTACCGGCTTTTACCTAGATTTACAGATGCGCTCCTCAACTTGCACGCTCAACCCTAGCATACATTATACGAAGTTATACGATTCAGTTTCACCTCAAACTCGCATGTGATTTCAAGCGATTGAAACGGGTACGACCCCCCCTCCTACAAACTCAACCAAGCACGACCCCCCCCGTTGTTTCTAGTAACAACGTAGGTTGACTCCTGTTTGGGCGGTGCAAGCTACTACTGTACTGCGTTGGCGCTAGCGCATCAAGTCACCGATAGTGATTGGTGCAATATACTGGGGATGGTAGAGTAGTGCCTTACGTTGAAATGACGAAGACTTAAAAGGAAGTTTTGAAAATTACCGCAACAGGAACGAAATTCCATTTTCAACTTTACAGCTCCAAGCACCTCACACTCAAGAAGCAACCACGATGGCGGACGCAACAGATTCGTTGCGCTTATTGCACGGTACAACATACATTCGTGGCGCGAAACGGAGCAATAACGCCATCGCCAGGTTTTGCATAACGACGCTTACTTTGCAAACAGGCCAATTGATTTAAGTTAATGTTGAGCTGAGGATCGGTACCGCCGCAGCGGCGAGCAGTGTGTCACGTCGAGAAGGCTGTAACTACCCACATTAGCTTACACACGTACCCACTGACCAGCCTCGTCACACTTCCTGAACTGCCTACATTCTCCTGGGCTCACGGATTCCTCGCTTTGCACAAATAGGGAGCGAACATGCGAGCGCCGCCCTCGCTATGTTAGCACCCAGCAGGGGCCGTGTGCAGCAGTATTCAGCCGGGGATGGGTCTTCAAAACTCTGCATCCAAACTTCGGTCGACGACACACTCCCATGGTCAAGGATGGGGAGTTGTGTCCGGAGACGCAGAGTTTTGAGAACCCATCCTCGGCTGGGTACTGCTGTACACGGCGAGGCGAACATTTCCGAACAATATCTTTATCTACAGGAACGCCATGATAAAGCAAATATTGCGGAACAACTACATATGGTAGCTCAAAAATGAAACAAATCGAAATGAAAAATCACAAATGCTCTCTTAACAATCTTACCAGCATTCATTCGACTACTATACATTATGCTATAATCTATATACAATCCCTTCAACCATAGTTGACTACTTTGATGTAATAGTCTTCCATGACTAATAAATAAGAAAAATACTGAACTAGAATGTACACACATGACTTTGTAAATAACTGCCTTTTATAAACTTTGGTAGATGTTGATGAATCTATTGACCCAATCATTAACGCAATTCTTTGCGGATAAGGTATTTCTTTGCAGAGAATCTCGATGAAATCAAATATGCTGTTTCAGACAAGGAGAGCAAAAAACCAAAATAACGGCGATTACTCGGCAACTTAAACAATTCCATCTTCCGCCTGCAGCACTGTTCGTTGAGGGGCTGGTGGTGCTGCAGAATGAGCAGTACCGTTCGCTGCATGAGTCACATTGTTGTACGAGGGTGGAGCGTCAGTGGTAATATTCGACGAGTCAGCTCCAGGTGCTGAGTTATGTGAGCCCGTATCTCCTGCTCCAAACACTATTATAATGCCGGGATGTTGGAGTTTCTAAATCGAAATAATTTGATAGACTCATCAGAAAACTGTAAAAGTTCGTCATTTCAATACAAAGCGAGCAAATCATTGTTGTGCACTACATTTCTAATCAATTTCACGTTTTCCTAGTGAAAAGTGAAAACGGCTTCACACACCGCAAAATCCATACCACATCGAGCTTATTAAAGGCAGTGAACGCGACGATGGTTAGAGGGTAGGCAGGTTTCGATGACGTCATTGGGCGTCATTAGTGAAAGGGAGTCGAGAGATTGGTCATATTCACTCCCCCCCCCCCCCCTACCCTCCAAGCGCGCTATGAGGATTAGCCAACCAAACCAATGACCTGACGTCAACGAAAACCCTCCATCCTCCTAATCGCTGCCGTAAATGCCAAAAGATTAAATTACATGAAGGAAATGCAGGGCCTGAAAGCTGTCACCAAGTCGGCTTCAACCTGTGTTCGAGGGCATCAGGAATTCCACATCTATTCCTTTTTTTCTCTTATGATCACCACTTCTTCGTACGCCTTCTGCCACGCACAGAGCACAGAGAACATTTATAAAAAAACGCCGAGCAGCGGATAGTGGTGGGGCCCGTCTTGGGGAAGCCTAATTATATATTTGGTGCCCATGGTGAACACTAACAGCCATCTCAAAACCGATATTTTCAAAAAAATAGAGCAAGAAATGATTTACGAGGAAGCTCTTGGGCTTGACGCAAGAAACTTTCACTATTCGGTAGGATCCAAAACATTAAGAAAACAAAAGGAAAATAATACTCACACTTTTCTCAGCCACACGCATTTCTAAGTCATGGATCTGACGTTTTTCAAGATAGTTCCGGCACCTGAATTACTCACTTTATTTGCTCATCTCCCTTTGGAAAGATCTGTTTCTCAACAGCAAATATTATCGTTCGAGAAAAGTTATATAGGAATCGAAAAAATAGTAGTGAGAGTGTGCCAAACTTATGAGGATAAAGACGCCATGTCGGCAAAGAACTGTTTGCGCAATGTGGTCTATACAATGACTTGCGGGGGCCAGCCGATGTACAAGTCAGTGTTTTTATCCTCCCAGACAAGTCTGGTACCAATTAACCGACCCCGGAGGGATGGAAGGCTTGGTTGGCCCGGGCGACTCACGACCCAGGATTTGATCCCCGGACCGCTCGCGTGGTAAGCGTGCCACTTGCCACTACACCACTTCCGCCCCCAGGAAGGTTACAATTCTTCGAAAACAATAGAATTGAGAAATCGTTCTTTGCAAAATGCTTGCTTTATGATTGAGTGCTCTGGCCTATAAAAGGTCCCAAGTAGAGTACTTGAGTGGCTTTCTCTTCACGCTTCGGAGCTCAATTCTTTAGAATGTCCAATTGAGTCTTTACATCAATTTTTCATTTTGGAGAGGAACGAAAATGAAATTATTACAGTGAAAACAATGAAACTTCCCGTCCAAGGTGAAAAAAAGTTGAGTGTAGGAATAAAACAGTAACAAAACTTTATACTTACCTTACCACAGCCGTGAGCATCACGCCTTGAACACCCATTGCAAAAACGAACATGGCCGTTACAATCACGTAACCCTGATCGACCACATGATTAATATAAAATATTGGGTATTAAGGGATAGAAGTCGAAAGAATGTTGGAAACTAAGTGGTGTAGGGAAGAGCCAACATAGCTAACAACGAAGATTAAAAACGTAAGCTAACAACGAAGATTAAAAACTTACCGATGACGTCTGAGGAGGTACCGTCTTCAAATAGCTCAGAACAACTATGTGATTTCTAAAAAAAATTATGAGGCATTTACAGGGAACCGAGATAACTTATAGGAAAACAATTCCGCTCACATGACGAAGATGAAGAAAACCGCCTCAAGTACAATCACCACCGTGTAAACGATAACGAATGGGACGAGGTAGCGTGGTTGGCCAACCTTTATCCCACGAACAACATACCAGTGAATCAGCATACCACCAATAAGGAATAATAACAAACCAACTAAAATTCGACTAAATTTCTGCGAAATGCTAGTTCTCCATAAATTAAAATAACTTTTTCAAAAATTCAGTTGCTCATTTTTCAAATTTGTGATGGCCTCTCACCAAAGTGCCTTCAATGTTCTCATCCAACTCTATTCTAGTTTGAGCGTAGGATGAAGTGAGGTAGAATTGACGTCGCATTGATAATCACACCTTACCAAGCATGCTTCATAATGCTCTCACCACCTAATTGAATGAAATTGAACTCACTGAGTGCCCCTACATCAACGCCTTTTTCATGATGATACCAGTCGAATTCGAAAAATACTGAGAGAAACAGAAAGATCACTAATGACATCCCAACACCAGCCGATATCTAAACATTTAGGGTGAGAAACAAAGCTTCAAAATATTTTCATCTTATAAAACATGAGCTAACCACTGCTGCTCGTTGGGCATGGGTACCAAAGGCCAAGAACTCTGGGCTGTCTTCACGAAACGGAGCCACATGAATGACGGTAGGAGGCGGGCGATCGTCTAGTTCATCACCTGAGGAAACGATTAACATACTGATCTTGAATCATAGTGATGTTTAGCCATACTTGTTCATACATTCTGCTCATGATCTTCTCCCGATTCACATACACATAAGTTCTCACGATGTGGCGGTAGCCCTCACAAGGGAGATTGTTCAGGGTGTGGGGCGCTG